TGTGCCGACCCCCATGATTGCACGTGTGTTGATTTTTTAGCTCAATACTACTAATAGGAGAAAAATACCTATTCAGTTCATTACCCAGGCATTGCATAGTGATTTCACCAACCATGAAGTTCAGCACCCGGACAAAAAAAAAAGGACTTGACACTCGGCTGCAGGACGCCAGAGGCTAGCAGTATCACATAAAGGTCGACACAGTAAAGGTTGTGGTTAGAATAAGTGACGTCAGAGGCTAGCAGTCTTTAAAGTACTTTTTACACATATTTCGCAAAATTTGTGTAAATGAGGAAATGGCATAGTTTCCAGAATGAGATGGGGGCAAATCATGGGCGTCGCGAGGGGGGGGGGGGGGGGGCTAGAGAAAGTACAAGAGTATGCTAAAGAAAGTACAATGATTTTGGAAGAAAAATGTGCTTTGCCCCCCTCTTGAAAAATTATGGCGACACCGATGATTGCACGTGTTTTTTTGTGTTTTGTGTGTGTCTGGGTGTGTGTGTGTTTTTAGCTTATAGTCTTCCATTTTGCCATAATTGGCACCTCACGTACAACGGCAAATTTCACAGCCAATATTGTTTGATTACGTGAACTTCGCTTCGCATTAGTAATGGCAAGTAGAATAAACTGGCCTATACTTTTAAAAAGTTATGGCGCTCGGTCTGTGTCAGCCTAAACTCTCCCAAATAAAGTTTTTTTGTTGGATACTAGTACAAAATGTTAGCACAATCGTACCCAAGACCCCGTCCTTCTAGTGAAACAAGTGGGAATAGGTTAGATGGGTGGGTTACAGCCCGCCTAGTCAGAAGGTTCGATATTCCGAAGGTTCTTTAGTCCGAAGGTTTGTTAGTCCAAAGGTTTGTTAGTCCGAAGGTTCAATAGTCCCACGGTTGGAGGGTATGAAGGTTCGATAGTACGGAGGGCCCATTAGTGCCCAAAAAAATAAGGTTAATTATTCAGAAGGAATAAACAATAGGGTTCGATAGTCCGAATCGACAATAAGGTTCGATAGTCCGAATAGATGATAAGGTTCGAAAGTCCGAATACGCGGTTGGGCTCGATAGTCCAAATTGACAATAAGGTTCGATAGTCCGAAATGACAATAATGTTCGATAGTCCGAATGGGCAATACTGTTCGTCAGTCTGACACTTTAGACTATCGGACGTTTCTGTTGATTCGGACTATCGGACCTTATAGTCTTGTCGGACTATCACACCTCGTTGTCAATTCGGAATAATGAACCTTCGGACCATTGAACCTTATTTTCTTTTCAGACTATTGAACCTTCGGACTAATTAAACCTTATTCTAAATTCGGACTACCGAACCTTCAGACGAATGACCTTCGGATTAATGAATATTCGGACTATTGCATCAAATGTTTGGATTAACTAACCTTATTTTATTTTTGGACTAACGAACCCCCTCTTATGGATATTTTGTGCATTCGGACAATCGAACCTTCGGACTAAAATTTTGGACTATTAGACCTTATTCGGACTATCGGGCGGCCCCCAGATTGGTGACTGCGTTGAATGAACTTCGGTAGGATTGATTGATAGCCAGAAAAACCTATTCAGTTAATTACCCAGGCATTGCATAGTGATTTTAACAACTGCAAAATTCAGCCGCCGGAAAAAAAGGTCTTGACACTCAGCTGAAGGCGGCCAGGGGCTAGCAGTATGTAACCGAGCTGGGAAGGTTACGCAGACAATTCAAAAGTGACACTGGGATATAATTCCTCTTAATTGATAAAAATGTATTTATTACATCAAAAAACGACAGTCATTCTTCAGCAGTCTGTAATAACAGAAAATAGAAGAACTTAGATTTTTAATTAAATTTCCTTACAAATATACAATGACTTTGAATCCAATTATTCAATTATTTTAAATAACCACCTCTTCTTATCTTTGGTTATGTCTCGTCATAATGAAAAATTGCATTACCGGTTCTATAAACCTCAACTTCCATTCTAGTGCCAATTTACAAGTACATTTCTTAAGAGAGGCATACAAATATTAACGGCATAAAAAGTTAATCAAGGAGAAATAATCTCCATATGCACTTGTTATGCAATAATTGTATAATACATTGATCTCCCAATCTCCAGTTTCTTAGGCACATTTCAAGCAACAGTATTCACGTACCCCAAATGTTATGGACGCTGGATATAGGAGGATACACATGTATACTCGAGAAAGCTTTTCTATTTGTGACCATCAGATCCACCAGAACCACAAGCAGAAGCTGTAATACAATTATTTTACATATTAAGTAATCTCATCAAATGTTTCGATGAAGAAATATTAAATATTCATCAGTGCCATCCAAAATATTTCATCTGCTCATGTATAAACATCCTTAGTTATGCTATATTGATGAATTTACAGTGCATTTTATACGGTACATTTATTTCTTAACATTGTTTGTTAAACAGCAATGCTCATAAAAAGAGTATTTAATATTCTGTATTCGTACATCCATCTACATGTATCTCAAGTGTTTCATTTCAGGCTAAACTATTCTCTTATTTCTCTTGCCATCCACGCTATCCAAATTCGAGTTCAATAAAGAGGATTGACCCTATAATTCAACATATTTAGGATCAAAGTATGTGCAAGTATACAGTCAATATTACAAGGATGTTCGGTACCGAAAATTCAAGTCTTATGCACAACCATTTCATATAGACTTGGTTTTCTGGGATAGTTATTTCATGGCATAAAAATGTTTTTATACAGACTTGGCTTTCAACCTTGAGTAATCACGGCATAAAAATGTGTCGCAAAGTGCTTTTTAAAATAACATCAACATTTACGGAGTTGAAAAACTTACCGGAGCAGTTGCGGCCTGTGTACCTATGCCTCACTGTGACGATGTTTTGGCAAACTACATGTATGCATGTACACGATGCGTGTGTACATGAGGCATGCTAACCATGGCAAAACCACGTACGAAACGCAGCAAATACAATAAAGCTGGCTCGCAATAAGGTGTGGCTGGCTGCATCGATAACAAGATGTCAAGTGACCTACCCATGCTTGCTTACTCTCCAAGAAAACTAACGAAAAATTCAAGGAATGTGCGTCCGAATCCCTATGCTTTTGAAAAACTGCAAGGAATAAAATATTTTTCGCACTGCATGCCGTATGCAAGATAATTACGCAACTCAGTATGCTATATTCAATGGAAAACACAAGAGGGCGCTCGCAATGCTTCGACAACTTTCGCATCGCTCGTTTATGTTAAAAATATAATACATCGACACAAGGACACTTTTACAGACGGGACCTGGCAGCATAGTTACAAAAATTGAAGTCTTGCCGGTCACAAGTATATCAAATAAAGGTCAATACAATAAAGGTTGTGTTTAGAATAAGTGACGTCAGAAGCTAACCGTTTATTGCGCAAAATGTGTAAATAAAGAAACGGCACAGCTAGAGTTTCCAGAAGATAGGGAAAATGAACCTTTATGAATAAGGCCAAAAAAAGGTCTCCGGTTTCTGGTATGGAGCTTGCTTAAAGAGTGGTGCGGCGACGCGGCTTTTTTTTTTTACCTGATTTTTTGCTTCAAATGTCGGCTGATGACTGCAAATGGTGCCCGACTAAACTTAGTGCAAATATATGGAAGTCCAGAGAGGCCACATAAAGCTTATTTTTGACCATAACCCAATCTAAAAACACGTTTAAATTGTGCAGCAGCATGATTCCAGTCAAACCAATGAGTTTGGCGGTTTTGAGACATCATCTTCCATTGATAAAACAACTTTTTCATTTTGCCGACGCGCATGGCTACGGCGACGCGCGCGCATACCAGAAACCGGAGACTTTTTTGGGGGGCCTAATATGGGCTATATTAAATGTTCGGCCCTCGATTTCCATTGCTCTTATCTGACCTGAAATAAATATTATTTTGTGTTCTGAAATAGGATGAAGACCATGTATGGAAATGTCGATTCCCGCAAAATTCAAGTTTCGGTCTTTCACGGTCGATTTTATATTGAATTTCAAAGATTGAATTTATTGGGTTTTTTTTAAAGTGAAGTCACGTGTCCCATGATGACGCGATAATGACGTAATCACAAATAAAGCACATCTTCGGTGGGTTTTGCATTCATGTATTGACAATTGAAGTTCATATATGTTTGCATTTTGACAAACAGTTCTGGAGAAGAATTTGCTGAGGAGAATAATAACAAAAACAACAACAATAGTAAGCTCGTAGAATAACAATGGGCGTTGTAGGCCATGGGCCAAAATCTGTATCAGGTCTAGAAGTTGAGGTTCGTCTTAACTTTTTGGTGTCAGCTTGCAATAAGGTCAACTTTACTAATTCAATAGGGCTGAATCTTAATCTGGCTGTTCACGTTGGCCCAAATTGCACATAAACGTTATGACGACATTTTTTCCACATGATTTTGCCCATTTTTGGTCAAAAATAGTATTTTTGCCATAACTTCTATGTTTTAAGTTCAAATGCTTTCAAATTTGATACAACACATACAAAGGAAGTCGGCATAAATATTATAAGTCATTATTTAACGCGCGACACGGTGCTTAAAGTTTATTTTTGTAAAATCGATCCTTTCAAACACGAGCATGATGAGACTTCGACGTGGCGTTATAAGGTTAAAGTACCTCTGTCCGTCCCTTTACAACACAAATAAATCACAAGTAAATCACAAATCATCCAGTTTCCAGTAAATGAGTGACACACTATTTTTTCCCCCATTTATTTACCCAGAATACATGTTTTGGGGCGAAAAACTGTGCTTCCGGAATCCAAATCGAAAAGGCATCGTGCAATCTTGAAAAAAAATCGTACGTTACTTGACGTGTAGGAGATAACGCGTGAGCGGATAGGGGGCGCGTAGACTTCGAAGTGCGCGCGCAGTTTGCTCTGTTTTAGCCAGTCAGCGTCGCCGTTTACATATTTCCCACGGCCAGGGGTTGATAGAAGAACGCGCACGCGACCGTGGAGGCGAGGCTTGTACGCAATGGCAGCGATGCATCGCGACCGCCCTCATGTGGTACAGTTACATTGGGGAAACAGTCTCTTTTTTTTTCTAATTTGAGCAAACGATGTGATGTGCACATTGTATAATATCAATTAACATGTTCCAAACTACTTATAACCGAGAAATTAAGTAGCCACTAAAAAAATTAAGACGAAACTGCACGTTACAGGCTTTGGCCCACGGCCTATAGGTGTCTTATTTGATTTTTCATGCGATTGTTTTGAGTTCCAAAATGTATCTTCGAATACGTTTACTGCAATTTACACAAACTTCCACCAATTGTTTTCTGTTGTGGGAAATTGTTTACAATTACATGTATCTGATATTTATGTCATACTCTGCCGGATCTGGGATAATCTCCAAGAGAAAATTAAAGTTATCGTTTTCAAACTGAAATGTTAACAATTTTCAAATGTTAACAATATTTTGCCCCTCTCCTTTTTGCTCAGCTGGATAATGCCATGGTGCTGTGATGGGAGGGTGTGACCATATTTTTCCATTTTTTTTTCCTCTTTTCTAATTTGCGGCTTTGGAGGATTTTTTTTATAGGAAACTAAAGTCCGATTTTCATTTCTTCATGGATTTTCTTTTACATATTTTTTGCTCATGATTTTAGGGAAGTTAAGTCCAAAACCTGATAACATACCATTTTTGCTTATGTCTTTTTGGGGAAAAAGATCGCGTCCCGTGTTGCCCCTGTTCACCCTTACTCTGCGGGGAACACGGCCAGTCAGTAAAGTTTCTTTTTTGCATTTTTGTTGCAGTTGTTACGATAAGTAGGTGCTTCCGTTGACCAAAATCTCCCGGACCCTATAGGAATTGTTGTCTTATAATGTTATTATACGGTTCGGCTTAATTTCCGGGGGAAAGTAATAATGGTATAACTTATTTGCACTGATGTAAAAATACTCCACTTCTAATAGGTGACATTTTTCACCTATAGTAGTTGGCTGCAAGTGAAACTCTTTATGGAACGTAATGCATTTGTATTTCCAATAAATGTGACCTACTGAGGAAAATGAGAAATGCCCACCAAAATCATGTTTTGAGTAATCGACGCCTGAAGTCAGATATACTAGAAAAATCATGTCACAATCGATATTGATTGTTTTGTATTTTTGAGTAGCCAAGATATCCAAGATTCATACTGTCTATTTTTTTGTTGGTGAAACATACCCACAAAAGAGGAAAAACTGAAGACCGTTTTCACTGCCGTTGGTGGCGCAATGCGTGTCTTTTAATTAATGCCATTTTTCTGAAAATGAGGATAGCGAAACTTGGCAGGACACTGTCGAAGTTCCTGCGTTATATCTCTGGAATAAATTAAGCTACAGAAATAAATTTGGTATCATTGGACTGCCAGTGATTTGCGCTTTAATATGATGGACGTAACGTGAAAAGTCAAGGTGGGGGTTATTTTTCATTATGCTATGGCAGGTTACATATGGTATTCCCTCTCAAATTTGTCATTACACTTGTCAAAACCTAGTAGGAGATTATAAACACAATGTACAGCGCCGAACTATTAGATTCTATAATCTCCGACGGACAAACACGTCGGTGAAGGGCAAAACTTACTACTGAATTAACATCTTCCCAACGCAAATTCCATCTTAAGAATAAAGTGTTGTGTTGCAAATTAGCTCTTTTGTGAAAACAGATTGTAAACGTATTATGAACGTTCCAACCGGAAAACAGAATCGGCCTCAACGCTTAGTCAAGAATTGGCATGACAAAAAAGTGTTGTGCTATTGTAACTATAGGTTACCTATAGTTACAATAGCACAACACTTTTTTTCATGCCAATTCAATGTCGGCAAAAGAGCAGTCAATTTAACCACAGCGCAGTTCTTTTTCGCGCGAAATTGAACGCTGCTGAAAATGATCATTCGATTTCGTTTTATGACGAGGCAAAAGTACTTTTGCGTCATTCGATTTAACAAAATGTCAATCCAATTTAACTATTCAACTAACTTGACAACATTCAAATTCGCAAGAGACTTTTGAGGCGTGTGTTTAGTCATTCAAATTCATTTTGGGGCAGGCATTTCTGTAATGTATGCAATCTAAAAAAAACGCTCTGTCGAACCATAGAAAAAGGGTCCTTTCTGTTTGGTTAAACTTGTTTTCCTTTATAATGTTAAAGGCATAATTACGGTTCACGTTTTGGCACTGGAGTCACTTTCCCGATGTGGTTGGAAGACCAGCTTTCACTGCATTTTTACACGCCCATTTTTAGAAATGGCAGCTCGTGGGCGCTTCGCAAAAGTGTCCCAGGTTTAAAAAAAAGAGTGTGTCACTCATTTACTGGAAACTGGATGACTTGTGATTTACTTGTGATTTATTTGTGTTGTACAGGGACGACAGAGGTACTTAAATTTAATATAAATCCTTATAACGCCACGTCGCAGAGTGGGCCAGAATCGCCTCAAAGTGTGCCAACATTCAAAAATAGTGAATGTGACATTTTCAACTTTTTAAACTTTTTTGAGGAAGACAACATCCTTAAGATTTTTTTTCCCATTAATATTTTATTTGTTTTGTAAGTTTTGGTAGTGTCACATACCCCTGTGAACATGAAAAGTGCGAAATCTGCTCTTAAAATTCCCGCCGATTCCTGCCAAAATTTCAATTTTAACGTTTCCACCTCAGCCTCGGCTTTACGTTGATGCCAGGTTTTTGCTAGAAATTCCTATACTGCGTGTTAGAGGCGTTTCTAAGACCCCATGTTCGCCGTTTATTAATGAACTGGACGTAAATATAGCCTATTGTTTTTAATATAAAAACGTTTAACAGTAAAAAGTCGCTTTTTGTAATTGGAGCGATATACATTCAGTTTATAAACTTGTTTAAGGAAGAAAACATCCTAAGAATATTTTTTTTCACCCGTATTTTATTTTTTTGTAAGTTTTATGGTATTATATACTCCTGTGAACAGGAGAACTACGAATGCTGCTCTTAAAAATAATAATAAAATTTGGCAACTTTGAGAAACCGTTGCGACTTTATGAAATAGAAAGCAGTCAACTTATAAAATAAAATTCAAAATGTTATAAAATATACATTTTGGAAATTATGATCAATACATTCATTTGACCAAAAACATCAAAAATGCATTTTGCGACAAAATTAGCACGATAGTTTGAAAATACTGCCATTGAAATCTACGGGACTGCAAACCCCTAAGGTACTTCTAATTTTAACTTCATCAATCATTTTTGATGATTATTTAATTTTTGCACACTTTGACTGCATTCTGGCCCACTGTGCGTCGAAGTCTCATCATGCTCATGTTTGAAAGGATCGATTCTACAAAAATAAACTTTAAGCACCGTGTCGCGCGTTCAATAATGACTGAATATATTCATGCCGACTTTCTTTTTATGTGTTGTATCAAATTTGAAAGCATTTGAACTTAAAACATAGAAGTTATGACAAAAATACTATTTTTGACCAAAAATAGGCAAAATCATGAGAAAAAAATGTCGCCATAATGTCTATGTGCAATTTGGGCCAGAGTGAACAGCCAGATTCAGATTCAGCACTATCGAATTAGTAAAGTTGACCTTTTTGCAAGCTGACACCAAAAAGTTAAGACGAACCTCAAATTCTAGACCTAGTACAGATTTTGGCCCATGGCCTACTAAGAGTAAAATAATGTGAACTCGTTTTCATATACAGTATGATTTAAATTTGCCACGTAAATACATATGGTTATGCATGAGAAAACTTGTTACCCACGTGTCAGGTGTAAACTGAATATTTGTGCTGGGTTCATGGTAACCATTACACATGCCTGTGATGAATGAATAATCATTCGGTTGTTAACTATAATAGCCGGGTTTGCACTTTTCCTCTCAATTCTTGACTAATCGTTCAGTCCGATTACTTTTCAATCTGATTTCATTCACAAAGGGGTATATTTTACAACACAACGATTCGGTATTTCTGTTTTTGGGGGTTGTAGAAACTTTTACAAGGTCTTCTTTTCTCTGATTATAACATTAGTTCAGCAACAACAATAAGATGTTTTCAAATTCTCCTGAGACTGAAACCTTTTGTCTGATCAAAAGTATCGACGCCTAACAAAAGAAAAATCGTGTTCCTTAAAGAGATTCACTTGTAGCCTACCCTATACCCGGGGGAGGGGTATCTAGAGGAGGTACCATCTTCCAATGGTGGCGCTGTTCAAGCCTGACAGTCATGCACACTGTCGGACAATACATGGCACTTTTCAGGGCGACGGTCGCGCTGTAAAATGGCACATGTTTTAACAAAAAAGGCACTTGTTTTAAAAAAGCAAAATGACACTCTTCAAAAATATTAGGGGGGAGGGTCAACGCTGTTTTTTACAGAAAATTATCATTTTTTTGCGTCATTGCTGCGATTGTTAAAATTATTTAAATAATTTTGGTCGCCGTAAGGTCTCCTATGAGAGCGCATATATTGTGACAGTCACTTTAGAGAAGAAAAGTTCACACTCAACTTACTCGTATACAAAAGTGCAACTTTGTTTCGGGTATCATTTGTCATCAATTGCATAATTTTGTACACGTTATCGCTACTTTGTGCCAAATAAAGAGTATGGCTGTATTGCTAAAAAATCTGTACTGATAAGACGTTATTTGAGCAAAAGTTGCGCAGTAGTGTTTGAGTTAGACAAAAGTATTGGGTGGTACTTTCTTTTTTGGTTGAATATACGGTTATAATTATCGATGGTTACCTGGGTGTCAGTTCGTGAACCGAAACTGCTGATTACGCGGTTTGCACGAACTGACGTCCACTATCGCGTGAGTGTCAGTTCGTGGTGTTGGTGACGATATATAATGGTTATCGATGGTAACCAATATTTAAAGTGACAGCCACCAAGCCATGTGGTTTTATTCTACCGTCAAATAATTGTCTCTCATTTGTTAAGAATCTTTTTTGAAAATTATTCCCCCTCTGCATTTTACAATAAGCCAATTCCATGGGCGCGTGCGCAATCCTTCACTAACTCCTGAGGCCGTGATATTTATGTTGTGTACACACACGTAAACGATGTCTGACTGGCTATTCTGAGCGTACTGCGCGCGCATTTCGAAGATTGTACGCAAGGCGCACCCATATATGCGCTAGCGTGCTTTGCACGTCACAACGTCACGCACGAAATGTTTTGTTGTTATTCAAATCTCGCGGGGCCTGTACGTTATGGATTATGGCAGCCTCGTTTTTCGCTAAAACAACCTGTATCTGCGGTTGTAAAGGGACGAAAGGAGTACGTACATTAGATACAAATCGTTGCTAAATATCGCAACGTCCAAAACTTATGTTTGAAAGGATTGATTCTTCAAAATTACAACTTTCAACATTTTAAAGATGGCGTCGGCACGTTAAACGGATAAACTGCAGCCTGATTATAATGTGCCATATTTTGACACATTTAAATGAGACAAATCCAGGGGTTGAGATCGCGCAAGGCATGATGGCAAACAACATGGCGCAGCAAGATCTCGTACCCATTGGAACGAGGTTGCATTCGGGATAATCGAACGCTCATCGAAGGCGCATGAATGCGCAGGAAGACGGGCGCACGACGGTCGCGTGCTAATTTTAGTCGTGTTCCCTGACGTGGCGAACTTCGAAGCTTACCCGACTTTCCTCGTGTGGTGTTGCCAAACCTCTTTGTTGACAAACCTCAAATTCATGCAGTAAAATACTAATACTTTTACCATATTAATGCTTGCTATTTAACATCTGTGAACAATTTTGGTTTTATAAAATTCAATCCGAAATTCAAAAACGGTGGCGTCCGGAAATTGGGCACAAATTGGCGGAGTGTTCCCTAACGTGGCGCACTTGAAAAAACTCTCGGAAAATTCCAAATTAACATTTAAGAATGTCTGTAAACTTCATAAATTTTGATAAATAATTATTATCTCTACTTACCTACCAAGCCAGATGTTTGTCAGAAATTTATTTTCTTATTTTTCGGGGCATTTTCAAAGGTTTCACTTATGAAAATCACGCCAAAATAAATGTTTCTTCTAGCTTTGTTACGGGTAAATAAACTCTCGATTTATGAACAGGAGTGTTTAGAACAGGAGTGTTTAGTGAAATTTCACTTTCTGTGAAATTTCAGTTAAAACTTTTGCTCTAGGTAGGCGCTACAGGGGAAAAATCAAAAGGCACCACGTTGGGGGCAATTGTCAACAATACAAGAAGAATGGGCGTCCGCGTAACATCGTGTATCATCACGTCAGTGATTTCATCTCGAATGACCTTTGACATTGAGATACCTAACTGGCTTATAGTAATTGTATTGAATTCCGTTTGCATTAACAACATGCTGTTTTCTTGCCATGGTTGTTGAAGTGTCCTTAATTATAGTGCTGTAATCACAAAGGTCTGCACAGTGAGATATGAATATGTGCAACCCTTAATTATTTTATAAGGCATTTTATGCATTAATAGGAAAACACGCAAGCAGCACGATGTTTTTAAAGAAGGCTGTCATTCTTACCACTCCAATAAACGCACTTGTTCTTGAAGTCAACTTTCTGAACGATTGGGCGGAATGAAATAACATTTTAATGGCGTCTCTCTTTGTCAAAAAAAATGTGCTTGTTTTCCTGCACAAATTAGTGATCTTGGCTGTGTCCACTATGAAAAACAAAATGAGCTTGGAAAGCTACCAGATAATCAAGACCCAGCATGATATGTCACCTGAAGCTGGCTACAACGCATTTAGCAGCACAAATATAAGCTCATCTTCGGTGCAACATAACAACTTGATAGTTCAAACAATAACCAACTTTTGTTGACCTCGATGAAAATGAGAATGGGCTCATGTCTATTTGAAACAAAACATATATTTGGGGTCGTTATGAATCTTCAAAGGTGCAACTATGGAGAAGATTTAACAACTCAAAAAGGAAGCAAACTACCTCTCTCCATGGTTTAGGTCTGTAATTGCGAAGCAGATGAGAACTGTTGCAACACCAACCATTTTGTCCTTAGGAGTATAAAGATGATGAAACTGAGATTACATTCCTACTTGTCTATAACTGAATTTCATGATTCCTTCATAGACATGAGGTTTGCTACTAAAATGCACTCCACTTGACATCCATATTCAACGTTTTTATGCAACCTCGCTATGGTTTGGCAACCTTTTCTGTTAAATAAACGACTGCCATCCATTCATTAATTAACTCATTAATTGTTGCCAAAAAAGTAGGGTGTGCCCACCAAAGAAGCAATTGGGACCAAAGTATGCACATTTTGTGTCAAACAGTGGTTGTTTTCAGCAATACAAGATGATTGCCATCCATTGCCGTTTCTTTGGCAAAAACAATAATTGCAGCGTATAACACTCTGACTATTGCATTAACAGTTATCTTCGTATATCCCATTTGTAATAGAGTTGTGCATGGAACCGCTTGGTATGGAGGATTTGGGCATCGCCAAGAGTAGCCTCCACGTTTCTAGTTCGTTACCGAATATGAAGAATGAGAATAACATCAGACATGATTGCAGTAAAAATAATGCACGACTCAACTTTCCGCCGGGTGACAATTCCAACCGGCCGCGTGGAGGGTGGTGTCCAAGAGAAGAACACAAAAACACATCATGGATACAGGTTTGTGTTACCAGAATATTGCCCTACCACAGGCCGATGATTTTACAGGATTATCGTGTGGTTCGGGATAGTCACTCAAAGGCGCCAGTCTATGAAAAGTCATCATGTTTTAAAATAAAAGTCACTATCTGTGAGAGAAAATAATCTGTCCGTCAACCCCCCACCCCAGGTTGATCCTACTAACAATAACACTTCAATGTTCCTTCTTCCACTCCAGAGTCCATTCCCTCTCCTAATCCCCTTTGATCTTCACCCAGACTGGTCCGTCCCCCATTTATTTATCTTCTGTTTTTCCTCCGAACACTCCGAAACATTTTTTTTTCTTGTATCACTGCCATTTGCTTCTGAAGAAGATCTTGTTAGGATCAAAATATCAGGCTGTCGTAAGTTCTTACAAATTTAAGAGGTGGGTTTGAAGACGGACATTTGAAGACTGATTGCCTTGCAAGGAGTGCCAGAGACGTGATGCAAATCTCGAAAATGTAGGTCGTTGAAGTTTAGGCCATTCGTACACGGGACTCGGAAGGTGTTTGTTATCAAAGAAATCACCTCTTGCATTAAGTTAATTAGGGCAATTTTTCGACTCGTAAACATTTCTGTTTTGCAACAAAGTCATTGACATGAACAATGTTTTGCTGTTAGGAAACTGAATGTGTATGTCAATTATTATCTGCATTTCACACTTAGATTTTTCTCGGTCGTCCGCTGCAAGTTGAGGGCGTCATAACCCAAGGAGGTGGCTTCATTGACACTCATGAATGGATTGAACGATACCAGATCCAGTACAGTAACACAGACGCCGCTTCTTTGGGAAGCATCAGAGATAACAGTGGCAATATCCAGGTAAAATATATCACAAGAGAGTGAGACCCATGCAATTTGGGCGTTTCACAATGCAGTGCGCCACCAAGAGTTTGGCACGGAGTCAATTTTTCAAGTTTTCGGTCGACAAACACGGCTTATTTAAACAAGTATCAATAGACAACTTGAGTTAATTTGTTAAAAATTGAGGCATAGCGTTCTGTCGCCTCACAAAAAAACCCCACCATATTGATACAAAGAAAAGAAAAGGGCAAACAAATACTCGAATCACACGCTTGCGAAATACTGATCAGACAAATTAACAACTTCAAATAGCTCGCGTTGCGAATTTGTCGACCATTTCCCACAATGCACGGGGACAAATGAACTCCCCGTGGCGAACTTTTGGTGCCACATTGCTTGCGAAACGCCCAAATTGTTCTCCTAGAAACCATACAGTGTATGCACTATTAAATTCGGAGGGAATGCCTAGTAATATATAGAGGATATACTTTAATTATAGTAGGCGATTTCACAAAGTGCCAAAACATAACTCTAAATGTGGCACAATTTCAAGAGATAATCGTAATTTGAAGCTGATTTTTGTTTCCCCAAAGACTTTCTTTACCGTTAGCAGTAACAGAACTCAGGCATTTCAGCTTTGATCATCAGCCTATATTTTGCTCTTTGCTAATTCACACCTGTTTCCTAATTTAACCATAGTTAATTAATCAAACTTGTTAACACTGCATGAGAACATCAATACGAAGAGGCCGTATAATTTCCCTATTACTCTATTCACAGATTTTGTCACTTCCTGTGAATGTTTAACCCTAAAGGGGCCGGGGGGGGGGGCGGAATCCGCCCCCTCTTCAACATTTTCCGCGATAGCCTCAAACAAAATTTTTTTCGCGACCCGAGCTGTTATGACTTTTTAACCTCGAGCTTTGCGCATCTTTTGATACCAAAAACATAAAAATCGGACCACGGGTTGCCACGTAGCGAACAATTTTCCTGCGCTATGCGCCGTGAAAACTGAATTTTCGCATATACGTCGTGTACACAGAGCAGAATTGCCATTCATACATATGAATAATTAATTAGCCATAATTCCAAAACCCTTTGACCTATAGTCATGAAATTTCTTGGGTATGTTTAGGAAGAGTTGCTCTATGCATGAGCTGAGTTTCAAAATTGTTCGTCACTCGATGGCCGAGATCCGCCCCCCCCCCCCGGCTGAGAGATGGTCAAAATAACCCGGCCCCTTTAGGGTTAAAGGTGCAACAAAATAGCCTACTCTGAGAAATACATTTGCGCATCTTACAACAGTTGAGCGCGCCGCGTCTGTTACTTTCAGCGTTGTCTGCGCGCGTGCGTACGCTCTGATGCTGACGAGTGTTGACCAATGAATGATCCCTCTTGCCTTGTCAAAGAGGCGAGTTTTTGTCAAATAATTATGACATTTTACGGTTGATTTACACTTCGTTAAAACGGGGGAAAAACTTAGTTCGGTCACTTTGTCAAATGTTTATTTACATTAAATATGGAAAGTAAACACATATTTCCTTTAGGAACTTCGTCAAAGTGTTCCTTGAGACAAAGATAACAGAAAGCCTGGTAAAACTCCAAATCAAAAAATCGATCGATTTTTTTTTAGGTTTTGTGCACTTCGTGAGAACAGCTATGGAATGTAAGGGAGATATTAGGAAAGTGTTTACCTATGAAAAAAAAGTTTAAAACCACACCCTGAGTCTGAGTGGAGTAAAGTCTACTCACATTTCTATGTTGTATATAGTCCTAATTTTGTGGTAACCATGCCGGAGGTTATCAGTCTCTATCACCTATCACTAAATACTAGTATGGGACATGGTACATCCACCAGAGGGGTTGTCGCTTGGGCGACCGTACTGGATGGGTTGAAATTGGCGGGAAAACCTAGTGTGCTTGTGCATATTTACATAGACATGTGTACCAATGAACTGATCAACCCCTTTGACCAAAATGGAACAGTCAAATTGTATTCACGGGCAAGTCTGTTATTTTAATGGCTGTTTTTGGCCTGAATGATTCCAGTGGTGAATGGTCCCGGGTGTAAGGGCCGGGTGGCTCGAATGACATTGTGGTAGGAAAACATTCCACTAAACCTACAGATATGGTACATTAAACAGCCCCTCAAGAACGAATTTTATTTTATTTCCTCAAAGTAACACGTTTCCTTTCCCCATTAGGAATTCACAGGTAATGTTGATGAGCAGTCACCGGTGACCATGATATTTGCCACGCCAGTAACGGCTAAGATCATCCGGCTCCTACCCACAGAGTACAATGTGTGGCCTACACTCCGCATGGAACTTCTTGGTTGCAGAGGTAGTGTACTTTGTTCACATAGAAAAAAAAATAACTGCGTGTGGCTAGTGTAGTCACTGGTACCTCATTGCTTCAGTGCGGGATGCACAGCGGTGGATAGGTTGAGTGTTGCGTGGGGTAGCTCAGCATCAAAATACATGCAGGGACACGTGTAGACTGGTTGATGTTACACACAAGACTACCTCGTTGCTGGCCGGAGTGCCAGACCAGCATGACATGCTTGAATGGTTTAAAACGTAATCACCATTATTGTTTTCTGTTCATAGAGAATCGCTATAATGGTGCTAATTGGCTCTAAATCAATTTCAAATGACCCCTACATATGTACCTAGTACCTATGCCCGACCTATACTGCCAAATGAGGCAGGTATTGGTTAAACGCCGTGTCAGTGTGGGGTACATGTACACCACCCGATCGCACCGCGCACTGCATGCAATTTTCGTCATACCACTGCTAAAAGGGAACTAAATAAAGATTGAATGATTTGACTATTGCCTACTCGGTAGGCTGCCATGCGCTTCTGCAGAGCCGCTACTGCACACTGACAAGTCTCGTTTATTATATTAAACAATGCAAGGAAATTCCGAGGTAAGGACAGTCAATACGTTTTATTTTAGAGAGACTTATCTACAGGGGTCTTTCTCTTTAAATTAATTTAGGAAATCGGGTTTTGGTGTAGCGGTACCTCTTTTTGTCTTCCAATGCTGCGACCTGGGTTCAAATCCCGCCGGGTCAGTAAAATGTGGATTGGGTTTTCAGTCCCTGCCTGATTCCATGGATTCTCTCTAGAATATCATTCTGGGGGTTTCCTCTCACCACTAATCAAGGGCGGTGGAATGTTTTTTCAAACCGGGGGGGGGGGGCACCAAAAAAGGGGCACTTGCTCAGAAAAATATAGGTTTATAGCGAAATGAATGGGACCATTTTCTTTTCCTCCACTTTCACAACGACGAAAGGTGCTTCCTTTTTGGAACAAATTATGAATACGTTGTCCATCTTGCTCTTTGTGTTGTTTTACTTAGTTATGTAGGAGACCATTTCTTTTATCGGGAGAGGGGCACTGTTGCTTTTGATGCCCAGCTCAGTGACCCTTTTATTCGCGTGAAGAGCACTATTATTTTGTTAGGGGCCAGTTATCCATCTTGAGAGGGGGCACAGTTTTAATGATGTTGGCGGGGCACTAATTGTGCTTTCAAGGGACAGTTTTTCATTTCGAGAATAGCCTTGCACCTAGGCCATCGTGGCTTAACCCTAAAGGGGCCGGAGGGGCGGAATCCGCCCCCCCCCTCAACATTTTCCGTGATAGCCTCTAAAAAATTTTTTTTCGCTACCCGAGCTGTTATGACTTTTTAGCCTCGAGCTTTGCGCATCTTTTGATACCAAAAACATAAAAATCGGACCACGGGTTGCCGCGTAGTGAAAAATTTTCCGGCGCTACGCGCCGTGAAAAATGAATTTTCGCATATACGTCGTGTACACAGAGCAGAATTGCCATTCGTACATATGAATAATTATTTAGCCATAATTCCAAAACCCTTTGACCTATAGTCATGAAATTTCTTGGGTATGTTTAGGAAGAGTTGCTCTATGCATGAGCTGAGTTTCAAAATTTTTCGTCTCTCGATGGCCGAGATCTTAGGGGGGGGGGGGTCGGAATCCCTCCCCCCCGGCTGAGAGATGGTCAAAATAACCCGGCCCCTTTAGGGCTAACTTGCCCGCATTAGACAAAATTTAAAAACAAAAAATTTGAGTCTAGTTTTCCACGAGACCGTGACCGCGTAATTGTTCTTACATTATCTTATTTTAATTGTACTAATAAAAGTATTTCAAGAAATTATTTGAGTGAATGAACTTATTTTTCATCTGAACTTGAAGTTATTTGCTCTTACGTTTTCCTTACTCACCCTTCTTTTAAAAATGGAAGCGACTAGGCAAAATCCGCGTTGTGGTTGGTTAACCTTCAGCACTCTTCTTATTTGCATAAAAACTATGGATAATTCAACAAAATCAAGTTGGAAAAGGCCTCGTGGCTTTGCCACTCGTGCGTGCTGACTTAATATTTGCTCCAGTCGCTTCGGGACTTCGCAGCCTCGCCGCTCTAAGCCACGATGGCCTTGGCGAAAGGCTATCTCGAGAAGTAATAGCGAGAGGAGCACTATTGCTTTTGATGGCCGATTTTCCATCTCAAGAGGGGCACCATTTTATTATTGCGAGAGAGGTATTCGCGCTTTCGAGGGGTAGTTTTCCATCTCGAGAGGGTGCACAATCTTGTTAATGCGAGAGGGCTACTTGTGTTTTTCAGGGGCAGTTTTGCATTACAAGAGAGGAGACAATTTCTTTGGTGCTTTCATACGTGTGCGTTTGAGGGGCAGTGTTGTTTTCATCTCGAGGGGCACATTTATAACCGCGAGCGGGGCACTTTTGTTGGCCTGGGAAAATCTGGGGGTCCCCTGCCCCCTCCCCCGTTTCCGCCGCTCCTGCCTGTATACGGTGAGTTCCTTTCACGTCGGCTACAAAAAAAGGACCCCAACGAAAGACTTTCGTGGGTTATCCCGGTCAATTCAAATGCCGAATAATCATAAATAGGTCTCAAATCCTTATCAAATAGATGTGTGCTTTCAGCCACTGGGTGTACAAGATGAAAGTGTGCCCGACTCAAGTTTTACAGCTTCAAGTTGGCGAAGCGACCTTGATGAAAATGACTGTTTCCCCGCTAACGGCCGGCTGAATGTTGGTCACGGCAATGAAGGCACAACCTTAGGCGGGTGGTGCCCTGCAACAAACAACACAGATGACGAACCTTGGCTTGCTGTGGACATTGGACAGGCATTGAGAGTAGAGGGCGTCCTCACCCAAGGCGGTAACCATAGCGATTCGGCCATGATGGAATGGGTGACCGAATTCCGGGTAGATTACAAGGTCACCAGTTCTGACAATTGGATGACGATCATGAACAGAAAGAGAAACACAATGGTAGGTCGGGCGGCACATTCACGTCAAACTTTCTGTCCATGTACATTACACTTTGGATAATACAAAATGTCTTCATTGTACACTACAAAAGCTTCAATAAGTGGTTGATAATGAGATGAATTAAAGAGGCTTTCTCCGTGCTGTATATTCGAAAATTTGACGGCTTGCAAGGTGACGATTAAAATAAGATAAGGTTTACACAATATCTTTTGTGTGTTTCGAATAAACTGCCACCGGATAATAATTCTGTCCTTATTGTGGGATAGGCTGGTTCCCACTGCATAATCAGTGTCAATGGTGTAGGCCTACGGTTTGCCAGGCCTACGGACCTTGAACCAGTTTGCTGGCAAGGCGGACCTCATTGCGCCCAAAAATATAAGCTTTCTTTAGAGAGTTTAGGAATTAAACAAAAACAATAAAATACACTAAAATTATTTTGGTTGGAATAAAACATACAGGTTGAAAAGTCGATTGTTTTTAAGTTCACGGGAACCAACTTGTCTTATGGGGATTGGTGAAAACAAGTTTGATTTTTGGAAAATTCCTTTTGTGGGTATATATTAACACGTTTTGGCTTAAATCCCCGTGACAGTGTTACTACATTAAAGCAGTAAAAAAATAGAAATGATAATATGAATATGTTGAGAACAAATTGGAAGAAACAGTTGCTAAAAGATTATGTTTTTGCTAATCCCTGTTAATACAAAGGTTCAATATTTAAAGTCATGATTTCCACTCTATTTTAACACTTTAAAAGGTATTTCCTGGGAACGAGGATGTAAACACACCTGTTAGACATCTGTTTTACGTACCCACCGTGGCTCGTTTTATCCGGATTGTGGTCATAGAGTACGAAGGGTACCCCTCACTACGGTTTGAGGTTTTAGGATGTAAAGGTGAGTCAATGCACAAAGACACTTCGTTTATCCTGAAAGGAATTTGTTATCGTTAGCTTAATGGGATCAGAGTGCATGGCATAATGTACCATCGCAACTAATTCGTTTAAAAAAAAATAATTTTTACAGTGGCACACAAACAAAAACTTCCAAACCAATAAAGGATTTTCACCCACTTTGTTCAATTGTAATTAAATTTTTTTTTATGAAATATCCCCTACAAAAGTCAAGTATAGCTGGCACCCTTTTTCCGACATTTAACATGTGTGTTTAATTTTGTTCCTTCTTCTTTTGACGAAGCTCCATCCAACATAACATGTCCAAGTCCCGACTCGTTCACGCTTGCACCAGGAATGGGCGAAGTTGAAGTGGTTTTTCCTGCTGTCACCAGTACCGATCCATACTTCAATCGTTTCACTGTCACGATCAGTAACGTCGACCCACTGGTGTCCAGCGGGGGTGTCATGTGGCGAGTAGGTGAAAACTCCACATTCCCTCCGCCAATGAACAGCAATGAGCAAACAGTTCATTACATAGCTACCGATGATGCCGGGAACCAAGCAACATGCGCATGGACGTTTGAAGTTATCGGTAAGCCGAAGACACTGAAGACATGGCACCCTTTTCAATTTCCTGGCACTGCGAAGAAAATTACTCATAAATGCATTGTGTAATCGCTAATATATGTAGTGACATGACTAGCTCTGATTCATGACTTCATTTTTGACAGCCCACTCAGCGAATGAAGCGCATCTTTCTCTTTTCAGTGAATTAACGGGTTAATTTCATTTTTTTTCTTCTTCAGATAACGAACCTCCAGAATTTGATAACTGTGAGAATGTTACCTTATATACCGATCCTGATAAGAATTATACCACTGCGATCCCAAGTGCAACGGCAAGTGATAATGTAGCAGCGACTGTAGAATGCTCAGAAATCCCAAATCAGCTGGAAATTGGTGTTCACCAAGTGTCTTGCATCGCCAACGATTCTGCGTCCAACACCGACATGTGCGAGTTTGAAATATATGTAGTAGGTAAGTGTGACAGCTTGAGAATGCCTTATGAAACACAGAAACCCAATTTTTGACACGTGAAATTGATGAAATTCTGGGCATACTGTTCTTTGAAGAGTGAGTAAAACTAACTTCAGAAAGCGAATCTTGGTATATTTTTTTAGTACTTTTAGTTACTTTACATTGAAAGAGGCAAAGGAACTTTTCTACGGATTTTTGTTTTATATAATAATCTTGCTAACTTTTTCCTGCTATATTTTTCTCCATAGACATTCAAGACCCTGTCATCTCCTGCCCATCTAGGGGATCATTCCCAACCGAACCACGCCAACCAAACGCTACGGTGGTTTTTCCTGGAGACTACGTCGCTTCAGACAACTCAGGCGACTTCCAAGTTATCGTCACGGAATTAAGTCCCAACTCCAGTGAACCTTATGGAATGATGTGGAGCGTCGGGGACGCTGTGGTATTAGGCATTGGTAACCACACCTTCTTCTACCTGGCTACAGATGCGGCTGGGAATGAAGACTACTGTGCTTGGGATGTCGAGGTGTATGGTAAGATTCTTTCTAACATTAGATTGCCAGAAGGCGGCTGAATATCCAGCCCTAAGTCAAAAACCTTAATAACCGACATCAGCTACCCAAGACAGAGTTAGGAACCGAATCGCTATATCCTGGTGAAACAAGTGCTTCTGATATAACGGATGCACAACTGTCTTCACAGTAAAACATATTGAAACTTATGCTCTAATCCACTTTATGCAGTTCAATTCCAAAGTCTTTCATAAGTCAATGTCGCAGGTAACAAACCACCACAATGACAACGCCCACTTATATGTTCAGTTATTTAATCTTGCTCACTTTCTACTATTATGTTTTGCACTGTAGATAATCAAGACCCTGTCATCTCCTGTCCACCTAGTAGATCATTCCCAACCGACCCAGGCCAACCCAACGCTACGGTGATCTTCCCCGATGACTACGTCGCTTCAGACAACTCGGGAGACTTTCAAGTTATCGTCACGGAATTAAGTCCTAACTCCAGTGAGCCTTATGGAATGACGTGGAACGTCGGGGACGCTGTGGTATTAGGCATTGGTAACCACACATTCTTCTACCTGGTTACAGATGCGGCTGGGAATGAAGACTACTGTGCTTGGGATGTCGAGGTGTACGGTGAGAGCTTTCTGTTGTTCACTTTAGATTGCTGGAAGACTGCTGAATATTCAGCTTTACAATAACTAGATAGTACAGCTCATAACCTCATTATTTGAGATGTATTGTGCACTTTGTGGTAAAAACATGAAATTTTCTACACAGACTGTACATACCATAAACTTTTTTTTAAGATGTGGAGCCATCTTGGATTTGACCTCTGATGACCTTTAGAGGTCAATGACCTCAGAAAACGAGAATTTGCTACTTTTGGCATCATATATGACAATAAAATCATCATATATCTCCTAATTACACTGTACACAGACTGTACATACCATAAACTTTATTTTAAGATGTGGAGCCATCTCGGATTTGACCTCTGATGACCTTTAGAGGTCAATGACCTCAGAAAACGAGAATTTGCTACTTTTGGCATCATATATGACAATAAAATCATCATATATCTCCTAATTACACTGTACACAGACTGTACATACCATAAACTTTATTTTAAGATGTGGAGCCATCTTGAAATTGACCTCTGATGACCTTTAGAGGTCAATGACCTCAGAAAACGAGAATTTGCTACTTTTGCGTCATTTGTCACAGATACATCATCATAAATAAATGTGTTTAGTAGGAAGGGGCGTAATCATACATGTCGCCACTACATTTTAAGTTAAATGGAATGGAGTTTGGCCGCCACCGTGCACTTAAGTTTTTATCAGACTTGTGTTTTATTAAAAAGAAGTGGTTTTCTGGCTAGGAAAATAGCAAGGAAGAACCGGTTTTGTGCAAGCAAAATTCAGGGAATAATCTGTTGATACAAATAACTTGTTGGAAAGTTCCAAGGTCATTCCAAGAAAGTTGCCGCCGTGAATTAGGGTTTAAAACATGGGAGGAGGATGGGATTTGCTATCAGCATCAGCAGGGCCGTTCCTCATTCTTTTCTTTTTATGGGATGTATGAAAACATTGGAGTACGAGGGGCTCTGCGAGCTGGTGAATCTTTTTTTGAAAACATTGTGTTTGCAACCAGCTAGGGAAGATTTTTGTTTATTTAAGACTTACAAGCACTGGTATGGATACCTGTGTAGTTATATGACTAAACTGCCTAGAGCGTATTTGTTAAGTTTTTTTTCCTTTTTTTGGAAATTCAATACGCATATAGGGAGTAAAATCAGTTCTACTGCTGGGTTGCGGTGATGGGTGGGCTATAGCTTGTCAACACATACCTCGCCAGCGGGCCCATTAGATTGGTGATAACCGGAGAGCGGGAGTTTCAAAAAAACTCATCCGGTGTTTAGGCGACGCAGGGACTGGTTTGTGTACATGTGGTTTTTGTTTCTAGTTCACTTAATGATTTGATTTATACCGGTGATAATATGCCGTCCCACCTGTTTTTCTTTTTTGTGTGTCGGGGAAAACAGTGCATATTTTCTGTGCCCTTTTTACGCACTTCATCAGTCACCCTTTGTTTAATTCTTTTGTACGTATTTTCTTTATTGCTAATGATGGTAAAGAATATTTTACGCGTTAGCATTTCTTGTAATGATCAGACTAATTTTTTCATTTTTATTTCGAAATCCATGCCTAAATGACCATTCTGTTAGTTCTGTTCTTCAAGAAGTTCCAAAAGGATTTGAACGTTCTCCTCATCCAAGTTTTTTTCTTGGTTGGATGGTGGAGATGGGTTAATCCTTGATCAGACCAGGCCATCTTTTATGTTTTTTTTTGTCGTTTGTATGCCAGGATGGGTTGGGTCGCAAAAAGTGCACTGAGAAAATCATTATCGCTGATCAGATTCCAGTGTTTCAGAAGGGCCTGCTTAAGAGCTGGGTGTTTAATTTGTGGGTTGTAGGGTAAAACAAAGACCAGCGGGATATTCTTTTCGGTTTTTGCATGCTTTTTAGAGTTCACGCGAGTTTCGCCTTTTTGGGGAAGAAGGGCTAAATCTTCTTGGTTGTATCCGTGTTTTTGTAGTTTGTCTTTGAAGAATTCAACCTTCTCCTCAAATTCTTTTGAGTGTGTGCATATACGGTCATATCTCATTATTTCTCCCTTAATCAAACCGCCAAACACTGACTTAGGGTGGGCTAAATCTCGAGCAAGATACTGAAAGGTATCAGTTTTTTTGGTTGCTACTCGAGTATCCAGTTTCCCTTCTTTTTTGAACCGTTCGCCTTTGTAGATGACGAGGTCGAGGAAGCTGACTTGACTGTTTGAAATCTCTGACGTGAACTTGAGCGTGGGATGAATTTGGTTTAGAGTTTGGATGAGGTCACCGGCTTGGTCTTCGTTACCGTTAAATATTATTAAGACGTCGTCCCTGTATCTCATGTAACTCACAGTTGAAGGATTGTGTGGGAGAATAATTTCTTGTTCATATTTGAACAGGGTTATATCGCATATTTCTGGACTGCATTCGCTTCCCTTAGCCACGCCAATTTTCTGTCTGAAGAACTTTCCATTGAATTCAAATATGTTTCGATGCATGATAAGTTCCAGGAGACAGCGAGCGTGTTCTCTTGTATGTTTGGGTATTGCGTACAGACTGTTATCGGCAACTTCAAGTGCATCACAGACTGATTCAATTGCCTCATCTTGTGGGCAATTCGTATACATGGACACAATATCCAATGTGATCAATAGGCTATCCTGCTTCAATGTCACGTTGTTTAGTTTTTCAAGCACATGCCCGGAATCGCGTGTATAGGTGCTTTGTTGTTTGACAATCGGAAGCAGAAAATAGTCTATGTATTTTGAAATTGATTGAGTCTGACCTCCGCAACCACTAATAATAGGCCTCCCCACAAACCGCGTTTCTTTGGGTGCTTCTTTGTGAACTTTCGGTAAGACGTAGAGGCAAGGAGTTTTGAAGCCGTGGTTGTCATGGTTGAGAAACTCAAATGTTTTTTTGGATATTACTCCATCAATGTGAAGTCTGCGTATAGCTTGAGCGACCTGTTGCGCGGTTTCCCCAGTCAAATCCCTATCAATCTCTTCATAATGTGGGCCTGATAATTGTCGTAGCCCCTCATGTATATAGTCTTGTCTGTTTAGAACACATTCACCGCGGCCTTTATCGAATGGTCAATTTGTGTCAGATATTCCCTTTCAAAATAATGTAGTCTAGATTGCGGGGCACAAGGAATACAGAATACAGTGTAATTTGGAGATTTATGATGATTTTACTGTCATATATGATGCCAAAAGTAGCAAATTCTCGTTTTCTGAGGTCATTGACCTCTAAAGGTCATCAGAGGTCAAATCCAAGATGGCTCTACATCTTAAAATAAAGTTTATGGTATGTACAGTCTGTGTACAGTGTAATTTTGAGATTCATGATGATTTTATCGTCATATATGATGCCAAAAGTAGCAAATTCTCGTTTTCTGAGGTCATTGACCTCTAAAGGTCATCGGAGGTCAAATCCAAGATGGCTCTACATCTTAAAATAAAGTTTATGGTATGTACAGTCTGTGTACAGTGTAATTTTGAGATTCATGATGATTTTATCGTCATATATGATGCCAAAAGTAGCAAATTCTCGTTTTCTGAGGTCATTGACCTCTAAAGGTCATCGGAGGTCAAATCCAAGATGGCTCCACATCTTAAAAAAAATATCATGGTATGTAGAGTCTGTGTAGAAAATTTCATGCTTTTACCACAAAGTGCACAAAAAAATTGCTTATGAGCTGTACTAAGATATGGGACAACCGATATACCGACATGAGCTACACAAAACAGTGCTAAGAACCGTTTCCTGATGTAAAGAGGAACGTGTCTCATTTGTTGCGCGATCAAATGGCTAAACGTGTAACTTGCTGACAGTAAGAGATACTAGTTGTCATACTAGACACATCATAATTCCTTTTTGCACAATAAAATATATTCAAACAAATGGTTCAAACCACTGCATAAAGTTCAATTGCAATTCTTATCTTTCTTATTATCTTAGATGACCAACCTCCAGTATTACAATGCCCCTCTGATGTGTTCAAATCTACCTTAGCTGGTTCAGATAAGGGCACAGCCAGCTGGTCACCTGTAACTGCGACCGACAACTCCGGCTTAATGTCGACTATTGTTGCCTCTCACACGTCAGGACAAATGTTCACACTCGGTGAACACACTGTGGAGTTTACTGGCACGGACCCTTATGGCAACGTCGGACGATGCAACTTCACAGTCACAATCACAGGTATTGCCTTACTCTATATAATGATTTGTTTTAGAAACATGACTAAAACTGCACATTTCAGTTGAACAAATCTGAACAATCCTCAACAGACACGTTTTGGTGATCCTTAGTTAAAACTCGTGCTGTATTGACACATGTGAACTATATATTCCTTGCTATAATGCAAGCGCTTCGAAGCCTCGCTGGCACTGCCTGACTTCAAAGCTGTCGTTGCACTCTCCCAAACTTCACAATGAACGAGCTTTGATGTTCCGCTGCCTTTCTGCATGGGCCTTATTCACAAGTTGGTCGTTTTTGTCGAGTTCCCTGAACGTATTTCATTAAGTGTTGAATGTTCAATGGGATTTTTTTTTGATCTGGCTTTAAACATTAAACATTAGGGAATTTTTAATTACAAATTTAAAAATAATTCATTGAAGCAGACTGGAATTAATTACGAAATAATTTGCTCTCATTTCTTTTCTCAAGTTCCAAAAAATAAGATTTCACCTCACTTTTAATTCAATATGGCCGACTCGTGAATAAGGCCCATTGGAGTGTACTGCTCCAGTGGGCTTAATGACTGATTTGTCATACAGTCTAAGCTTCGCTGTGGATGTTTGCAACGGCTCTGCTGTCTGTAATTTTCTGTTTGTTCTGAAGTAGTCCTGTTCTGCATGTAGCACTGTTGTCTATCAGGAATTCCGGTGCTGCTGCTTTACCACATGACGGAGGTCTGGTCTGTGGATTTGAAAGATAATGGGTGCCTTTGGCCTATTAGCGTTCTTCTTTTCTGGTTTGCAACACTCTAAAAAAGAAGTGAGAAATTGTGTTGTGTAAAACTGTCAGGGACAAAAAAAATGTAATTTCTGCTCAGTACTGAACGAAATAACAATTTCGCTTGTACCTCCTCTATGTGTCATATGTGTTACACATGGAAAGGGTAAAAAAAGTACGTAAGATTGACTACAAGTCCTAGCAGCACAGGCAAAAAGGTAAAATTATGGTATTATCATCCAAGTGATGGGTTAAAGAATATTTGTTTACCCTAAAACTGCGGCACAATTTTTTATTGTCACGTCGAAGAGTAAAATTTACCACGACATTAGCAAAAATGTTATCACTGTGCAGGGTTAACTGACGCACGTGACAACGTTACCCAAAATTATGCACCCGTATCACTCATGTAAAAGATGGCCGCCGCTTTTGAGGCCCTAACGAGTTAGGCAATTGAAGACGTAATTCCCTTGTTCAAGGTTAGCCAGTGAAATGAATCTCAGTGTTGTTTCCTCCAAATGCGATGCTGATGAATAAGGATTACTATCGGGGAGATTGGAGGACTGAAATGCTTATTAATCAGACAGTATTTGCAACATGAATTTCACGCTCTGCCAAGCACGTTTACATGCATGCGTTGTATAGTGAGTCTTCTCATCTATAGAAACACACAGTCAAGTGACCGAAATTTGGGGGAAACAAATTGTAATGAGTTGATTGACGGAACTTCTATCCCCTGTCCATTTGGTATTAGTTATCCCACGTTCCTCGTAATAATCCTCATGCATCAGCACATTATATTGGGAAATTTCTTATTCATTTAACTGGCTTCTAAACCCAGGATTCCGTTATTGAAATCCCTTGGTTTAGCCCAGCGATTGGGTAGAACATTGCAGAGTTCAAAGTTGAAATAAAACCTCGAGGATCAACATACAAAGGTGCACAATACCTGATTAAAAAAGCCTTCAAGCAGTGGGTACATTTAGAACCCAACGGTGTAGGGTAGAATTAGAACCCAGTATCTGGGTTAGAATACAAGTTGACGACCATGTTCCCTTGTTTTCTCAAAAAGGTAGTACTTTTTTCCAACATTGAGCAACCATTTTTTTAGAGTGAACTTTTGCCAGATCTGCTGACTGGTAGCTTATTTTTGGTCCTGGGGTTTCCTGTTCCTAGGAGAAAAAGGAAAATTCTGACACATGAAGATGCAAGTATACGTATAGGTATATACATATACTCAGTATTCGAAGCAGTTATGCCGGCCAAATAATTTGTTTAAAACATTGAGGATGATGTTACTATTGCTCCTACTTTAATACGTTGTGTAACAAGAAGATGTAATATAATGTGTGGATCTTTTCTCTCGTCTGAGAAGTGGTCGTGGGAAAATAGCAAAATGTCTGCACTCTAAAAAATAGTTGCTCAATATTGGGTAAAATTACTACCTTTTCGAGAGTAAAAAGGGAACATGGTCGTCAACTTGTGTACTTTTTTTTACACAACAGCTAAAGTGTAGAAAAGTACCCATTTCTGTGTAACTTTTACCCATAATTGTGTTACGTGTTTGCACAACAAAGTTGGGTAAAAAAGTTTACCCATGTGACGACCATGTTCCCTTTTTACTCAATTATTGGGTAAACTTTACCCAACCCTCCTTTTACCCAAGTGTTGTGTCAGTTTCTTACCCAGATATTGGGTTCTAATTTTTACCCTGCACTATTGGGTTCTAAATTTACCCATCACTTGGGTTGTTTTTGAATTAGTTGTTGTGTACCTTTGTTATTGATCCTTGCGGTTTAATTCAACTTTGAACTCTGCAATGTGAATTGCATGCTAGAGACAGCAATCGCGAGGGATTTCAATAACTGAGTCCTGGGTTGGAAAGTCAGTAAAATGAATAAGATGATATTTCCCCAAATATGGTGCTGATGCATAAGGACTATTACGAGGAACGTGGGCTAAATGATGGGCAGGGGTGTTAGAATTTCCCTCAATCAACTCATTCAAAAACAATTTCCCAAATGTCAGTCACTTTACTCCGTGTTTCTAGATCTGAGAACACTCACTATACGGTACATGAAACGTATGCATCATGTGCATGGAATCGTGGTTGGCAGAGCCGTGACGTCCAAGTTGCACATAAATGGCCAAAAAATAAGCATGTTACTTCTCTAATCTCCCCGATATTAATCCTCATACATCAGCATCCCATTTGGAGGAAACAACACTGAAATTCATTTCACTGACTTACCTGGAACAAATAAATCACGTCATCAAAATCCCCAAATTGTTGAAGGTCTCACAAGCGGCGGCCATTTTGTACATGAGTGATGTTGCGTGCACAATATTGGGTAAACGTTGTCACGTGCGTCAGTTTACCCCACACAGTGGTAACATTTTACTAATGTCATGGTAAATTCTACTCTTCAACGTGTACAATGAAATAATTGTTACACAGCGGTGGGGTAAATCCAGTTTCTTTAACCCATCACTTGGGTAATAACACCATGATTTGAACTCTTTGCCTGTGCTGCAGGGACTTGTAGTCAATGTTGGGTACTATTTTACCCTTTTCATGTGTAGCACATTTGACACAAGTAGGAGGTACAAGCGAAATTTTCATTTTGCTCAATATTGGGCAGAAATGACGCAATTTTTTTACACAACAGTGTTACACAACATAAATTTACACTTCTTTTTTAGAGTGTGGTACTTGTAGGTTGCAGGCTAGTACATAGGCCCAAAAATGGCTACGTCAAATCATGATGTGCATGCCCTCGAATAATCTGCTGATGGAGCATGTTGAGGACCATGAACTTAAGAGTTTGTTAAAACAAAATACAAGCAGTAAACATGATTGCAAGCTTGAAGTTCTGAGCAATTCGGATGATCACTTTTCCAATGGAGCGTAGTCATTTTTGTTCAAAATGGCGATGTGTGTCACTCCCGTCTGGCTAAAGCAATTTAAGTGAGTCCCGTTTGGAGATCCCAAACCACTTGTAAAAGACAGAAAGAATTCAATCACCAAAAATGATATAAATTTCAAGAAAAATATGAAAACATTTATTAATAGAAAATAATAATTAATTCAAATATATTACAAGTGTATACGGTAAATCTAGTCAACCTGGCGAATTGTCACATTTGTAAATAAACTAGCTAGAATACTTGTAGGCCTCTGTTGGAAGCTGATAGGCCCAACGTATTAAATATTCAAACAAATCAACCAAACAATGAAATATACCAAGGAACAGGAATGATCAAGAATTAACCCGAAATACAAAATATATGCGTTTGTCGATTAAACACAGAATTAACCACAAAGTGTACTTCGGTAATCACTCAAATCGACCAGTAATTAATCAATTAAACCTACAACTTAATAGTATATTGTTAGCTTAATTCAAGTAAATAGATCACTTATTAACTAAACAATAAACAATTAAATAATAACATATTCCGGAATAATATGTGCACTTTCTAACTAAATGGGCCCACCGCGATTTTGTCGCACCAGACTATTCTGGGTTCAGTCGAGAGTCCGGCGACCCCCTTGCGTCGGCTCTCTATAGCTATTTCGATCGTCACAAAGTCGGACGATCTCTGCTCCAATGAGCATCAGCCAGCCCCGTCCGGCGAACTTCCCGGCTGATGAGCGTCACTCGTCAGTCGGCCTTGACGTCTTTGCGGTGCGCTCGGCACCCGACTATGTGGACATTATGGACCTGTCTGTCTCATATGTCGCTGGCGTCACATCAGCTCCGGCTAAAGTGCCGTCTACAAATAATTCAATGTTACACAATGCAAATAATACCAATCTATCTCCAATTATCATAAGCATGTGTATTAAAAGACAAACGCTATATAAAAGCTATCACTCTCATTCGTGGAGCAAATCCTCATAAAATGAATCTAGCATCACAAAGTGCCTCAGAATAAATCACATCTTCTCCTTATCTTCATTTTAAGAATTAAGGAGCAAACATTAAATTACAATTACACTGCTAATCTCTAGCAAAACGAATATCTAATCGTGATGAGCACAAAGCAACTTAGTCATCAGACTATTCTTTTGTTTAAGCCAGGTTTCCGACAATACATTTCAAAATAAATGCAAAATTCGTCATACAAATCCAAATACACGAAAATAATGATATCAACCATACTTACAGTCAGATAGGGTCTTGGTTCCTTGGACTTCTGGCCCTTCACGACCGATCCCGGTCTCAAATCAGCGAAAATGTCGCTCAAAAATGCATCGCAATTGCGGATCAACCTCTCGGGTTATTTTCTTTCGTGGGGATCCCTCTCTCTTTCATCACATGACTACGGCACTTATTTACATTACAAATAATACTAAGACACACACGCAAAAAAACCAAAAGTTTCTACGGCTTTATTCATCAACTTGTAAATATTCATACATGGTTCGCTGAATCTTTCAGCGTACAGGCTATATACAATTGTATGCACACGTAGGTATTGTTCTCTACGTACGCAATTATACACAAACACTGAAAGTGAAAACGCAAAAAGAACCAACGAATAGCCATACTTACCTGACCTTGCGCGACAGAAACGGAAAGGAAAGTAAAAGTAAGAAAAGGAATCACTTGAAAATAAGGGGGAAAAGATGGAATTTGGCATCAACTGTGACAATGGGTTTCAGGACTACTTTCTGGAAAGATATTTTTCCAACGGGAGATCAAAATAGTAATAATAATGATAATGTATATATTTCTTTTTAAAGAAACAAAACCAAAATGTGAAAAAAACAAGATTAAATTTGATATATGTCTGAAACACCTTGGAGAACTATAGGAATTTCCCCTCCTTTTCGGAAGTTGGGGTGTTTATCAATGGAATCTATGGCAGTTTATTCAGAGGTAATTTGACTTTTGGATTTCTGACTTGGGATGTTCCCAAATTTTGCAAGGAGTCCGATTTTTGGCACATAATTTGTCATAATTAATACATTCACCATAGTATTATCGTGTGTACCGTTCACCCTGAACCAGCTTCATGGAGGCATGAAGTATTATAATTAGAATTACAAGTTGTATTCATCCTGAAGGGAAATTTTACACTCGCACATAAAATGGCTATACATTTAAGAAAAAGAAAGTATACATTGGAACTTATCACAATACATACACACTAAACAACAGTTCCTACATAAAATGACATTAGGCATTTTGGACCCAAGACTATACACGAGACTTCGATAATCAGCGCTTAAAATTAGCAGTACAGCATTTTATGTGCACGCGGGGCAAAATGAATCCCGATATCGGTTATTATCCTCAGGATCGAGAGTCAAAGCTAGCATTGCTGCACCTGTCCCACATTGATCACAGAGCTGACCATCAAGGGGATTACTCGAGTCATTATTGATTCACTTCGCCAGACGCACTGATAGACAGTGGTTAGCAGTTTCTAAGTTTCCCGAATCACACGCCCAGCCCGCATATATCACCCTGAGATTATGTCCCTTTCCATTTTGCTAACATTTCCAACCCAACAAATCAAACAATATCGCAAAACATTGAATACAATTGAGTTACAAAACAATGTTAAATTTTTAGTTCGGCATTAAAAGTAGCCTTTTTACGTAGACAGTAACTCCTAGTATTTACCTTTTGTACTGCATTTGTCCACATGATCTTGCCAGGTAAGCTTATCATTCAATGTTTCACACAAATATGTATATGTGGGCGGGATGAGAGCGGGTATTAATGTAAATACGGTAACTTAAAGTGTGCACTAATTGTTTGTATTTTCATTTTGGAACAGAATTTTGTATTGAACCCCTGGGAATGGAAGATTTGGGTATCCATGCCTCTAGTATTTCTGCCTCCAGTGTTTTCAAGTGGTCGAGTAGTGATGATATCAAGCATCGATGCAAAGCACAGAACGCGCGATTGAATCTTCCGCTCGGCACTAATCCAAACCGGCAGAACGGAGGATGGTGTCCCAATGAAGCAGACAAAAACACCACATCACATATAGAGGTTGGTGTCATGAGTATTGCAGGTAAACATCTTGCGAATTTACTATGTTCAATAAAGTCTTGATTCGATTTGTTTTCTTTTTGCTTGTACCCACCACCCCCTCGAAGGGTGCTGCTGACCTTATATCAGTGTGTAGTACTCGAGTCCCTGACTCGTGCTCGAGTCTCAATCGGTTAGAGTTAAACTTAATTACATGGGCAAAAGACTCGGACTGGCACTCGACCATCAAGACCCGAACCAAAATACATATTGAAACTCTAGACTCAAGACTTGGACTCGAATTGGACTCAAGTGTTCATCTACAGAACTCCCTCATTTCATGTGATTTTTTTTTAGGATTGATATTGTATCCCAGAGAACCGGGGAAAACACTTGATTCGCAGTTTACGTTCATTATTGGTCAACACGTTTCCTTTGGCTCACGAAATATGACATTATATTATTATGCACAATCACTATAATGTATGCATAATTATGACCACTATAAAGAAAGTTTTTTTTTATGAATCCATAAGGCGATCCCTGCCGCAAGAAGAGGATGTAATTACAACAAATAACCATCACCCACTAACCGTAATCACAACAACGTCTTGGTAATAATGCAAAATCTCCCCTGAAAAACGGGGTAGAGTAGTGTGCAAACGATACTTCTGCATGCACATAACGGTCATTTTCGATTGCACGCGTACTACGATAAAAGTGGTGCATTAAGTTGCAGCAAAATCCAAAACCGGAGGCAATAATTGAAGAGTTCCAAGACATTGTGGTAGAGTTTTGTGGGTGATAGCGGTTCGATTTGATTCCGCCTGTTTTTTTTTTTTTGCTGGTGATCGTGTATCCATTTAATATAAAACGTCTTGACTCATAGCAACTCATAGCAACCGATAAAGCGCGAGGCCGTTGTCTGTTCTCATAGACACATGTGTGTTATGTGGTCAAGTGTCCAGTCTACACTGCGATAACAATGGGTTAAACTCGCTCAGGGTCGTGTGCTTTGTCAGAACTGTTCAAGAAAAAAGTAAGAATAAATTTGCTTTATTGCTATCACATAACATTAACTCTAGATCGATCTTGGTCGTTCGCTGCAAGTTGAGGGCATCATTACCCAAGGAGGTGGCTTCACCGACACGGATGAATGGATCGAACAGTATCAGCTTCGGTATCGTTACGCTGAGGGGCAACCTTGGAATTACATACTTGATGAAAATGGCGATATCAAGGTACAGAACATCAGATTTAAAAACCAAAGTAGGCTCAATCATAGATTAAGCATATTAAACAAAGTGAAGCATCGACCCTGAAAAATTGGAACAGTTCCGGGATATATCCAGTTAGTTCTCCTGAGCTACGCATCCTAAAGAAAATCCGGCAGCTGCGTCTCAGTTCATTGGAACCAGACAGAATTTTGGCAATTTCATTGTGTCAACTGTTTATTTCTCTCTTTTCTCCTGGATCGAAATACCCATAGAACGAAAGAACAAACGTCATTTTTTGTTTATCACTTGTATGAACTTATGGTAGATTTGATTTGTTTTTGCCTATTAAAAGGAATTCACGGGAAATACTGACAAAAGTTCCCCAGTGACCAGGATCTTTGACGCGCCAATAACGGCTCAGATCATCAGATTCATACCCACAGCGTACCATGTGTGGCCTACACTCCGAATGGAGCTTCTTGGTTGCAGAGGTAACGTAACGCACCTTTCAACCTTCTTTTTTTCAACGTTTCAAGATAGAATTGAAGATTATTAAGCGCATGACTCACGGGGCACCATCTCTTTATCTCTTGCCTGGGGTGCCGCATAGGAATGTGGGGTAAAACGATTAATCCCACTAACTCCATGTTTTTGGTCGCCACTTAGGGCCCTGTCACACTTCTGCGTATCCTAATTCCTTATGAGTTGCGCATTGACTTTTTTTCATACGCAGTCGTACGCACAATACGCACCTCATATGCATCTCTATCGTTTTATGTAAGTTTTATGTACGCAGGCATACGCATGGTACGGCCCAGCACGCTGGATAGTTTTGGGCATGCACAAAACAACGCTGCGTACGCTGTTACGCAGGTCATAAGTTATAAATACGCAGCGCATCGGTCCCGCATCGGTCGAGCCCGGTACGAGTACGCTATGTGTTTGTGAGGGATAAGCCGTTCATACGCGGCAATACGCTGACCTCCTATATTGGACGTATACATAGCGACGTATTGCACGAATTAGTACCGCTCGTCCTGCGAGCGTGCAGCGCATTGTACTTATTCGTAACTTATGAGAAACGCACAGATGGCGAACTTGCGCACTGCATACGCAACTCAGACGCATCTCATACGCAGTGGATGCGCTGAATTCGTTACTTGTTCGCTAGATGTGCGTCGCACATATGTCAAAGTAATAAAAAAATGTCGATGTTTTTGATCGTACGGCTGCGTACGATCATAAGGAATTGGGATACGCAAAGTGTGACAGGGGCTTTAATGGTTTTGAGTGGAATGCCTTCATAAAACACTGTGCCATCTAATGTCATTTCTGTCGAGTCACAGCCAACCTTATTCCCTTTTCCATCTTTGTCAATCGTTAGTTTTTTAGGGATTTCAGAAAAAAAGACACGTATGTTATGTTGAACCTTTCCTAATATCATGTGAACATAATTTGGCATACACATCGCAAACGCAGTGACCGGTGTAAAACAAACACCTAACATTTGATGTACGCATCGTGGTAGAACAGTTTGTTGGCCCCATACACTGCAATGTTGAAAGCAATGTCCGAAATGCCAGAAAACATTCATTCGCAAATTGTCGGTCGCATGGAGCGATGTCCCTTTCCTGTTTTTAATGCCAATTACCAAAATTGTAAACACATTGCCTACTTCAACATTTGTTGTTTGTTGAGTCGTCTTGGGCAATCGAATCCACTGAGTGTTCTATTTAGCATCGGTATCGCTTGTTACTAAGCAGTGAATATTATCCCCAAAACGTCCTACCCACGGATCCTTATTTTTTATGGAATTAGTTGAACATTTATTTGCACTAATTTTGAATACAAATCGCCTCAAACACATTTTGCAGGGCTGAAGGCCTATCTGGTCAAATAATCAAACACATTTGGGTACAAAGGTACCGCTTTATTAATTTGACATTTATATTAAACGGGCTGGATTCCTCATTTGGTTGAGCATCGAAACGGCAGTCCGAAGGTCACTAGTTCCAAACCCGCTCCAGAGGGTTTTTCTGGATTTAACTTTAAACTTATTTTGAAAATAGTTGAACATTTGCTTGCACTTTTCAGAAATACTCCTTAAAGAAGTTTAAAGAATGATATCAAGTTTTTTTTAGCGCAACGCCCACATCCGTATGCATCGACATACACACTCTTACAACACTGGTTGAATTTGGTTGGTAAAAACTTTGTGTACATTTTACCAAATGTTGGGTAAAATTGGCTCATTGTTTAACCAACCTTTTATTTTTAACCAACTGTTGGGCTGTTGACTTGGTAAGCAGCGGTTAGTAAAAATAGTTAAACTAACCCAACGTTTGTGAAACTTGGTTAGGTTTAATCAACGTTGTGTAATATGTCTAATTTTAACCAACCGTTGGTTACCAGGTGAACAGCGCAAAAGTTTTTAATCAACTTAAAAAGTTGGTTAAAAAATGAACACATTTTTCCCAACGTTGGGTAACATGTACCCAGCGTTGGTCAAATTGGAAACATTCACACAATTTTGGTTGAAATTCCCAACGTTGGGTAACATGTACCCAGCATTGGTCAAATTGGAAACATTCACACAATTTTGGTTGAAATTTTAACCAACTTTTTTAACCAAACAATAATATTGTAAACCAATGTTTTGAGAGTGCACCTCCGGGTTGCTCAGTAAAAACACGAAAAGAGCTAAAATAGCTGATATCATGTGGTGTGTCTCGACTAATCAACATACCTGATGCTATAACCCAAATAAGTAGAAAATCTTCTGCTACTGATTCAACATGTGACTTGACTCACTTTTTAAATAGATGTGTGCTTTCAGCCACTGGGTGTACAAGATGGGAGTGTGCCCGACTCCAGTTTTTCAGCTTCAAGTTGGCGAAGCGACCTCAATAACAGTGACTGTCTCCCCGCTAATGGCCGGCTGAATTTTGGTCACGGCAATGACGGCACAACCCTAGGTGGATGGTGCCCTGCAACGAACAACACAGATGACGAACCTTGGTTGGCCGTGGACCTTGGACAGGCATTGCGAGTAGAGGGCGTCCTCACCCAAGGCGGTAACCATAGCGATCCGGCCATGATGGAATGGGTAACCAAATTCCGAGTGGATTACAAGGTCAACAGTACTGACGATTGGATGACAATTATGACCAGAAAGGAAAGAACAATGGTAAGTCGGGTGGAACTTTCATCACAAACTATGGATAATCCAATATTTTTCCCTTGGAATATCAGAAACTCTTCAATTAGTGGTCTTCAACTAAAAAAGCAATTCGGGCGATTCACAATGCATTTCGGGCGACAAAGAGTTTGCAACGGAGAGTCCATTTTTCAAGTTTACGGTCGACAAAACATGGCTCATTTGAATGAGTGTTGGTAGACAACTTGAGCTTATATGTCATAGATTGGGGCATAGCGTTCTGCGGCCTTACAAAAAGGAAAATGGGCAAACAGATCCTCGAATCATACGCTAACGAAACCCCTGACCGGAAAAACTAACAATTTCAATTGTCCCGCGCTGCGAATTTGTCGACCATCTCCCACAATGCACTGGAAAAAAATGAACTCTCCGTGGCAAACTCCTGGTGACGCACTTCATTGTGAATCGCCCGAATTAAAGTAGCCTCCATTTTTTTTTTGAGTTTCATAAACCGAAAAGTATTTATATTTCTAAATTTCTTTTTTATTCACTTTTGAATGAGACATTGAAAGAAAAAAATTGCACACAGTTAGTTATACTATACAAATACTATACAAATTTTGAATTTACAAGCGCCCCAACAATAACTCCGTGCACACAAGATGGGCTGGCTCCCCGCCCACAACAAGGTGGGCTGGCTCCCCGCCCACAACGAGTATCGATAATGTACTGACCGGGAGCCAGTCTGCTGGGATGGCGGACCTGAACTTTTCTCTGAGGGTTGGAGGTGCTATAAAAAGTAAATTTATATTGGTTTAAACGTAACATTGAGGTTGAATATTTATGAACAGAAAAAAATCGAAACTGTTGATGTGCACATGAAACAACTTTAAGCAGCACGTGATACGGGGACTAGTAAAGGCAATTTTTTAACAGCTACTTTATAATGTTGGTATGCACTAACAAGTGTCGGCCATTGTGAGATTGAAAGTGGGAATTTATCAAAATATCATTGCGAGTAGTATGATAAGAAATCAGTGAACAAAATATATTGTGTTGTTAACATACGGGACGGATTTGATGCTTAGAGATGATCTTGCTGCTCAACTCCCTTAATATGGATACAATCTTAAGTCATGAAATCTTCCTCTTACTTTACCCTTCTGAAGGATTTTTTTGGGAACGAGGATGCAAACACACCAAATAGACATCTGTTTTACGTACCAACCGTGCTTCGTTTTATCCGGATTGTGGTCATAGAGTACAAAGGGTACCCTTCATTACGGTTTGAGGTCTTAGGCTGTAAAGGTGAGTTATTGCGCAGACACAATTGAATCCCAAGAAAATTTCTTGAGCTTAAAGGGTCGATGAGATAATTTTCTCTGAGGAAAACACTTTGCGCAACTTTTTACTACTGTTGGAGGATAAATACGAAAACTATTTATCATCCCTTCTGAGTGAATTATATGGAAATGTGCACTTCTTAAAACTTTAAAAATGGTCCATACTTTTCCTGGACAACCCGGCGCTGTTGCTGTGAAGTCATTTCAGAAGGACACTGTGTGGGGGTATCATGTTCGAATTGTGAACTCAAAATTTTCTAATTGAAAAAATTCGCTCAAAAATATGGAAATTTTGTAGTTTAGTAACAAAAATGTCACCAAAACACACTTAAAACCCTTGAAAATGGCAAGATAAAATTTGCAAATAAGGTTTAATTAGACACTAAAGAGCATTTTCAAGGATGGCATAAACAAAAATACATTGCATGCAAGAGGTGTCATTGCAATGCATTTATTCACCAAGCATTTAATCAAAAGAAACAAGTGATAGTGTTAAGACTGTCCAGTCTTAACTACCTTCTTCTAGACCTCCTTCTAGACAGTGATCCGAGAAAAAACATGTAGGTGACAAATAGGCGCACAGGGAAAGAATGATAAACAGAAAAGAGAGCAAAGGTGGGTGAAGATCGAAGGGGAAAGGATAAGGTGTGGAGCATAACAGGGAACCGACGGGTGCGGGGTAGGTAGTGTCAAAGCGACGGGATTCAGACGGAAGGGATGACGCTGGGGATGGATATAAAGGAGTGTTGCAGCTCATAAAGTGTTAGCTGAATAGGAGATAAGAGGAGATGATAATTAGGATGAGGGAAGAAACAGATGGATTTGGCTAAGGATAAAGTTAAAAGGGGAGTACAACAAAGGAAGTGACAAACCACAGGAGGTTTAGCCACTAGGGTTCTCTGTAATGAATGACAATGAGGTTGACAGTTAACAGGTTAGTCACTCGCTTTTTAAATTTTGCTTTCAAGTGGTTGAATAGTCCGATGACATTTCATCCACACTTTCTCCCTGCTGAGGTGAACTGATTCCTTGCAATGGCCAAATGATTCTATGCAGGTTGAAATGGTAGGCAACATGGTAGTCTGGTCTCTTAATGTTGACATTCGAAGACCATAGAAACGCTTGAATGTGTTTTTGGTCTCCAAAGAATGACACAGAAACAAACACTTTACATTCACAAACTTTTATCCTCTTTGTTAATTGCGAAGAAATACCAACATGAAAAGTTTTTGTAATGAATATCTTATTTGAAAGTAAAGTGACAGCTGGTGTAATTATTCAAACATTTATAAATCGTGTATTTGTTCCATCTTCTTTTGACGAAGCTCCATCCAACATAACATGTCCAAGTCCCGACTCGTTCACGCTTGCTCCAGGAATGGGCGAGGTTGAAGTGGTGTTTCCTGCTGTCACCAGTACCGATCCATACTTCAATCGTTTCACTGTCACAATCTGTGACGTCGACCCACTGGTGTCCAGCGGGGGTGTCATGTGGCGAGTAGGTGAAAACTCCACATTCCCTCCGCCAATGAACAGCAATGAGCAAACAGTTCATTACATCGCTACCGATGATGCCGGGAACCAAGCAACATGCGCATGGACGTTTGAAGTTATCGGTAAGCCGAAGACACTGAAGACATGGCACCCTTTTCAATTTCGTGGCACTGCAAAGTAAATTACTTATAAATGCATTGTGTAATCGCTAATATATGTAGTGACATGACTAGCTCGGATCCATGACTTTATTTTTGACAGCCCACTCAGCGAATGAAGCGCATCTTTCTCTTTTCAGTGAATTAACCATTTCATTTTTTTTTTCTTCAGATAACGAACCTCCAGAATTTGATAACTGTGAGAATGTTACCTTATATACCGACCCTGATAAGAATTATACCACTGCGATCCCAAGTGCAACGGCAAGTGATAATGTAGCAGCGACTGTAGAATGCTCAGCAATCCCAAATCAGCTGGAAATTGGTGTTCACCAAGCGTCCTGCATCGCCAACGATTCTGCGTCCAACACCGCCATGTGCGAGTTTGAAATATATGTAGTAGGTAAGTGTGACGGCTTGAGAATGCCTTATGTCATAAATCATGGAATCGTTCTCCTCAGATACACTTACCCACAGAAACCAAATTTTTGACACGTGAAATTGATGATATCCTCGGCATACTATTCTTTGAAGAGTGAGTAAAATTAACTTCAGATGGCGAATCTTGGTATATTTTTTTTGGTACTTTTAGTTACTTTTCATTGAAAGAGGCAAAGGAACTTCTTTACGGATATTTGTTTTATTTAATAATCTTGCTAACTTGATCCTGCTTTTTTTTTTGTTCACCATAGACATTCAAGACCCTGTCATCTCCTGCCCATCTAGGGGAACATTCCCAACCGAACCACGCCAACCAAACGCTACGGTGGTTTTTCCTGGAGACTACGTCGCTTCAGACAATACGGGCGACTTCCATGTTATCATCACGGAAATAAGTCCTAACTCCAGTGAGCCTAATGGAATGACGTGGAACGTCGGGGAAGCTGTGGTATTAGGCATTGGTAATCACACCTTCTTCTACTTGGTTACAGATGCAGCTGGAAATGAAGACTACTGTGCTTGGGATGCCGAGGTGTATGGTAAGATTCTTTCTAACTTTAGATTGCCAGGAGGCGGCTGAATACCCAGCTCAAAGTGAAAAAACCTTAATAACCGACTTCAGCTACACAAGACAGAGTTAGGAACCGAATCGCTATATCCAGGTGAAACAAGTGTTTATGATATAACGGATGCACAACTGTCTTCACAGTAAAACATATTTTAACTTATGCTCTAATGCACATAATGCAGTTCAATTCAAATGTATTTAATCTGTCAATGTCGCAGGTAACAAACCACCACAATGACAACGCCCACTTATATGTTCAGTTATTTAATCTTGCTCACTTTCTCCTATTATGTTTTGCACTGTAGATAATCAAGACCCTGTCATCTCCTGTCCACCTAGTAGATCATTTCCAACCGACCCAGGCCAACCCAACGCTACGGTGATCTTCCCCGATGACTACGTCGCTTCAGACAACTCAGGCGACTTTCAAGTTATCGTCACGGAATTGAGTCCTAACTCCAGTGAGCCTTATGGAATGACGTGGACCGTCGGGGAAGCTGTGGTATTAGGCATTGGTAACCACACCTTCTTCTACCTGGTTACAGATGCGGCTGGGAATGAAGACTACTGTGCTTGGGATGTCGAGGTGTACGGTGAGAGCTTTCTGTCGCTCACTTTAGATTGCTGGAAGATCGCTGAATATCCAACTTTACAATAACTTGATATGGGACAACCGATATACCGACATGAGCTACACAAAACAGTGCCAAGAACCGTTTTCCTGATGTAAAGAGGAACGTGTTTCATTTGTTGCGCGATCAAATGGCTAAACGCTTAGCCTTGTAACTTGCTGAAAGTTAGAGATACTTGTTGACATATTACTAGACTCATCAGAATTCCTTTCTGCACAATAAAAGATATTCAAACAAATAGCTCAAACCACTGCATGAAGTTCAATTGCAAATTCTTATCTTTCTTTATATATTAGATGACCAACCTGCAGTATTACAATGCCCCTCTGATGTGTTCAAATCTACCTTAGCTGGTTCGGATATGGGCACAGCCAGTTGGTCACCTGTAACTGCGACCGACAACTCCGGCATAATGTCGACTATTGTTGCCTCTCACACGTCAGGACAAATGTTCACACTCGGTAAACACACTGTGGAGTTCACTGGCACGGACCCCTATGGCAACGTCGGACGATGCAACTTCACAGTCACAATCACAGGTATTGCCTTGCTCTATATACTGATTTGTTTTAGAAACATGACTAAAACTGCAAATTTCAGTTGAACAAATCTGAGCAATCCTCAACAGACACGTTTTGGCGATCCTTAGTTAAAATTCGTGCTGTCTTAACACTTGTGAACTTTATATTCCTTGCTATAATACAAGCGCTTCGAAACCGCGCTGGCACAGCCTGACTTCAAAGCTGTCGTGCGTGCACTCTCCCAAACTTCACAATTAACGAGCTGTGATGTTCCGCTGCCTTTCCTGCAGGGGCCTTATTCACGAGTTGGTCGTTTTTGCCGAGTTCCCAAAGTTTTTGAACGTATTTCTTAAGTGTTAAATGTTCAATGGGATTTTTTTTTAATCCGGCTTTAAACATTAGGGAATTTTAATTACAAATGTAAAAATTATTCATTAAAGCAGACTGGAATTAATTTAAAAAAAATATGCTCTCATTCCTCTTTGCAAGTTAAAAAAAAAAAAAAAGATTTCACCTCACTTTCAATTCAATTTGGCCGACTCGTGAATAAGGCCCATTGGAGTGTACTGCTCCAGTGGGCTTAATGACTGATTTGTCATACAGTCTAAGCTTCGCTGTGGATGTTTGCAACGGCTCTTCTGTCTGTAATTTTCTGTTTGCTCTGAAGTAGTCCTGTTCTGCATGTAGCATTGTTGTCTATCAGAAATTCCGGTGCTGCTGCTTTACCACATGACCGAGGTCTGGTATGTGGATTTGAAAGATAATTGGTGCCTTTGGCCTATTAGCGTTCTTCTTTTCTGGTTTGCAACACTCTAAAAAAAAAAAGTGTGAAATTGTGTTGTGTAAAACTGTTGGGGACAAAAAAATTTAATTACTGCTCAGTACTGAGCGAAATAACAATTTCGCTTTTACCTCCTCTATGTGTTATCACCCAAGTGATGGGTTAAAGAACATTTATTTACCCCACAACTGCGTCATAATTTTTCATTGTCACGTCGAAGAGTAAAATTTACCACGACATTGGCAAAAATGTTATCACTGTGCAGGGTTAACTGACACACGTGATAACGTTACCCAAAATTGTGCACCCGTATCACTCATGTACAAGATGGCCGCCGCTTGTGAGGCCCTACCAAGTTAGGCAATTGAAGACGTAATTCCCTTGTTCAAGGTTAGTCAGTGAAATGAATCTCAGTTTTGTTTCCTCCAAATGCGATGCTGATAAATAAGGATTACTATCGGGGGATTGGAGGACTGAAATGCTTATTAATGAGACAGTATTTGCAACATGAACTTCACGCTCTGCCAAGCACGTTTACATGCATGCGTTGTATAGTGAGTCTTCTCATCTATAGAAACACACAGTCAAGTGACCGAAATTTTGGGGAAACAAATTGTAATGAGTTGATTGACGGAACTTCTTACACCCCTGCCCATTTGGTATTAGTTATCCCGCGTTCCTCGTAATAATCCTCATGCATCGTCACCTTATATTAGGAAATATCTTATTCATTTAACTGGCTTTTAAACCCAGGATTCCGTAATTGAAATACTTTGGTTTAGCCCAGCGATTGCTGTCTCTGGTAATTAACATTGCAGAATTCAAAGTTGAAATAAAACCTCAAGGGTCAACATACAAAGGTGCACAATAACTGATTAAAAAAACCTTCAAGCAATGGGTAAATTTAGAACCCAACGGTGTAGGGTAGAATTAGAACCCAGTATCTTGGTAAGATTACAAGTTGATGACCATGTTCCCTTGTTTTCTCAAAAAGGTAGTACTTTTTTCCAACATTGAGCGACTATATTTTAGAGTGAACTTTTGCCAGATCTGCTGACTGGTAGCTTATTTTTGGTCCGGGGTTTCCTGTTCCTAGGAGAAAAAGGAAAATCCTGACACATGAAGATGGAAGTATACGTATATGTATATACATATACTCAGTATTCTAAGTAGTTATGCCGGCCAAATAATTTGTTTAAAACATTGAGGATGATGTTATTATTGCTCCTACTTTAATACGTTGTGTAACAAGAATATGTAATATAATGTGTGGATCTTTTCTCTCGTCTGAGAAGTGGTCGTGGGAAAATAGCAAAATGTCTGGTACTTGTAGGTTGCAGGCTAGTACATAGGCCCAAAAATGGCTACGTCAAATCATGATGTGCATGCCCTCGAATGATCTGCTGATGGAGCATATTGAGGACCATGAACTTGAGAGTTTGTTAAAATTTTACACTCGCACATAAAATGGCTATACATTTCAGAAAAAGAAAGTATACATTGAAACTTATCACAATACATACACACTAAACAACAGTTCCTACATAAAATAACATTAGATATTTTGGACCCAAGATTATACACGAGACTTTGATAATCAGCGCTTAAATTTAGCATTACAGCATTTTATATGCACGCGGGACAACGTGAATCCCGATATCGGTTATTATCCTCAGGATCGGGAGTCAAAGCTAGCATTGCTGCACCTGTCCCACATTGATCACAGAGCTGACCATCAAGGGGATTACTCGAGTCATTATTGATTCACTTCGCCAGACGCACTGATAGACAGTGGTTAACAGTTTCTAAGTTTCCCGAATCACACGCCCAGCCCGCATATATCACCCTGAGATTATGTCCCTTTCCATTTTGCTAACATTTCCAACCCAACAAATCAAACAATATCGCAAAACATTGAATACAATTGAGTTACAAAACAACTTTAAATATTCAGTTCGGCATTAAAAGTAGCCATTTTACATAGACAGTAACTCCTAGTATTTTTTTTTTTACTACATTTG